TTTGTTTTTTTTTTTTGGATAACTGCGCAGATTGAATGCATAATTCACGGAATTAAAATCTCTTCAGTCGAGAATTTGTTCACGCATTTTATGTAAAATAAACAATTAATGGTGGAATGTTAGTAATATTTGTTAAGTGTAATCTGCCATATTTTGAGCAAAAATTATAATAATGCAATTAATATTTATGTACATATTTTAATACAAATTTCAAGTAATCTTTCTAATATATAGATATGGCAATTAATATAAAAATGAGTGATTCATAAAAGGTTACTACAATCGGTTATAGTTTCTATTTTTGACATTTAAAATCAAAGCTTATCCAATTATTTAGGAAAGAAATTAAAATATCGTGTGCAACTTTTCAAAATTTGAATACACTAATATTTGTAGATTCTTATGTTTTTTCTAACCATGTTTTACCGAGATTTTTGGTAAGTTTATATCAATTTTTTTTTTTCAAAGTTCATATCAATTTTTTTAAGAAAGAAACAGTTGCATAAATCTTAACAAAATATTTCAATCTTTTATTAGAATTAATTTCAATTCAATTTGTTTGGTAAAATAAAAATAAAAAATCACTTCAATGTTAGGAAAATACGGTTGCATTTTAAGAAAAAATTGATAATTCTTTTCATTTTGTTTTAACTAGACATTCAGATCAATTTGTTTGGTAAAAAAATGATGTATTGGTAGGAAAATTCAGTTCCATTTTCAGGAAAAATTAATGATTCTTTTCAATTTTACTTGATCAAAATTTTGAATTTGAATTTTTTTTAAAAAAAATATGGCGTAGAAAACCCTAAAAATCTCTACTTTCTTTCTACTAGAATTTTGTTTAATAAATAAGAACCCTTAATTTTTTTTTAGAAAAAATATATTTTGTTAATTAATAACTAATAATACATAATTTTAAATAAAATTCGAACACCCATGTAGTATTTTACGTTCCAAAAAATCAAACTAAGAATATTGTACATATGAAAGTTTTCAATGATATATAAATTTTATTGTCATTAGACAATTTAAATACAAAAATATATTTTAAAAATAAAGAAGGTAATAAATACTCTCGTGCATCGCACGAATACTGTACTAGTTAATGAAAATTAGAGTTGAAATAAATTTAAATTGGGATTAAAAAAAATGAATTGTGATTGAATTTTTCTAGTTTACATTGATATCCAATCACTCTAAGAATCCAAAATGAACTTTTTCTATAAATTAACTAGCTTTTGCTAGAAACAGTATATAGAAGTGAGATATCAATTCTTTTACAAAGTTTATGTATCAACGAAAAAACATTATCAAGAGCAATTCAATTCTCTTGCCATATCAATTCATAAATAGGTACAAAGTTCATGTTTCAATTAGCTTTAAAACAACAAAATAAAGGAAAAAAAAAGTAAAATATTTTAATGGAAAAAAAAAATATTCTTGTGCAAGTCAACGTCATACTTTTTAAACAAAACTGCATACTTAGACTATCAAATGTCATACTTTAGTTCTTTTCATATTTTTCGTTTTTAAAGTATGACATTTTCCAATGAAAGTATGCATATTTATAAAAAATAGTATGCGGTCCTATATCTTAGGACGGTCCGACACAAGACCTATCGTTTACCCGGAGAGACGGTGAGATTGAAGTCATTTGTCAATCCAATCTTTGAAAACCAGCAACACATAAAGGGGAACATTGAAGGCAGCAATGGTGATTAGTGCTCTCAATGCTCGAACTAATCTCCAGATTATCATTTTCGCTTTCGACCTATTTGTTCTAGCAGTCGAACCAATATGTATACTCACATCTGCATTCGACTCGTCTACTTCTGGTGCCGTCTGTTTCCGAGCTTTTGATCGCATCACGGCATTGCCCCTGCAACAAAATTGAACATTTGATTATTTGCACAAATATCCCCACTATTGAGGGAATTTATAACTTTCAAATTTAGAAATTTCTGTAGCGTTACAGTGAAAAATCCTACCTCTCAACCGAGGAGCCCTCGGTTAAGGACGTTTGCGGAACTTTTTTGGTTTTCTTGATAAGGTGCATAGACCCTTCTGCATCCCAAATCTCTTCGTACTCACAATTATCATCTTCGTTTTTCTCCTTCACGCGACTAATCAAGCTGTTATACAGACTTCTGACAGAAACCGTTAGATTGCCAAGCTTTTTGAAGATGAGAACTTCATTTGCTGGCCAAAGGAGGACAATAACAAGGGTCATTGCAAACAGAGTTAAATACCTGACACCATCCATCAGATTATATTTCAGTACATAATATTTCATACTGAGCAAAAAAATAGAAAAAAAAAAAAAGGATTAAACATAACATTTACCATACATTTTCTCAGTTTAACAATTCATATAATGGAAAATACCCTCCGTAATTGTTTCTATCTTATAAATTGACTCATCAAGACAAGGATATTTGTGTAATACTATTATAAGGGGAACCGCAATTATAAAAGATAACTAAACTGTAATAATAACTCTGAAAACAAACTAGAATACCGAACAGCATAAATAAAAGGACTAATAAAGAAGAAGCCTATTCCGAAAAGTACCATAAGTAGATATGCATTTGCATGGGAAGAAAGCAAAGGTGAGTGGATATATAATCTTCTTCTGAATTGGATCCATCTGCTTTTACTGAATTACTGACGGATAGTAACATGAAAGAAGGATACAAGTTGCCTTGCTGCCAGCTCACAGTTCCTACAGTATGCTGCATAATTCTGTAAAATTAATGCTAACACCCATTATATCTCATTCGGTTATACAAAGGCCAAAAGAACTCTATAATTTACCTCAGTGACTGGACCGTGCTTATTCGACTTGTGGATTACCGTGCATTGATCATGATCATGGCCCGAGAGGACTAGTGCCTGCAGATACATCATTTATATCTCGATTTTTTCACTTTTTATTCATCATGTGTAATGACGAAAAAAGAAAAGGTAACATTTAATACATACGGGTCTGATTTGGTCAAGGAGGGCATTTGAAGAGTTTTCAGTGATGTAATTCTGATACCTGCACAACCCACAATGTATGTACAAAGAGCGACAAATTTTTTTTACTGTTTTCAGGAGGTAAATATTGCACAATCTTGAACAGTGTTGGTAGAGAATGAGGACAAAAAAGGTCGCTTACAGTATTTCTTGATCCCGATCTGCATGGTTAATTCGCTGGAATCAACATTCAATCATGCGCATGTTACAAACATATATATATTAGAATTGGATGACAATAACATAACTATATACTGAAATAACATAAAGTATATAGACATCACCTGATTGATGACTGGTGAATAACGATGGGGCCCACAATGAGTCCAGTCTGGCCGGTATAAGGGAATGTGAGTCAACAAAACCCTTGGAGTAGAAGAAGTATCTGACAAAATTTGTATAATGTCAAGGACATCGTATTCTAAGCCAGAAAATGTTCACAACTTAGAATTCAGTTTTATGTACCTTCAGATACATTTTTTACGAATTTCCAGGTATCTGATGTGAAATTACCTTGTGGAAGGCCTGTGGATAGAAGAAAAACATCGAGTGTTATAATATAGTGAATGCATGGTAGCAATCATAGATGGAGACATAAATTTCTTTTTGTTATCATTTTTTTTTCTCTCATTTTTGCAATTTGTTAATAATTGTTTAAAGCGATTTAAAACCACTCAATAGAAGATAATTTCTGCTTCCTGTGTCAATTTATAAACTGCTAATAAAATCAAGTCCGGACCAGGACAGAGCATTATTTGTGTAGTTTCGCAGATATGAGCAGAAGTGTTTCATATTGCAGTAATTATCAAGGGCCTAAAAGAAGGATTTCTGATATTAATGAATCATGCATTAAAGTGTAATCAGGGACACATGTAGCATTACCATCCAAAGTTTGTGCATCCACTGCAATGAAGTCCACTTTCCCGATTTTAACTTTGAAGTTCCTAGCACCAAATTCTCTGTCATAGCGTTTGACAATCTGCATAACAGAGGTGCAAAGATAGGATACAAAAAAATGTACTGGAGTCTACACAGAGTACAAGTGTTCATATTTTCCTAAAAAAATTACATCTCGTAAACGAGGATATTTTGCGAATTGATTTTAAGTGTGTTCAAAACGCAAAATGACAGAATAAAGACTGACTAATGTGGTCCATCAGAAAGTTGGACAAATTTTTTGCAAGGCAAAACTATTAACTCCAACCGTGCATAAATAATTTTTTTTTACCCATAAAAAATCACGACCCGATGTCAAACATAGCACACGGCATTATACCTCTGGCTTCCAAGAGATGAAAGCTGAGTACCCAATGTCATGGTTTCCAGAAAGGTAGTATACTTTTAATTTCGAAGATTTCTGAAGCATATTCAGATTGAAAATATGTCTGAAACGGCCCAAAGATTCCTGCCATCTATAAATAGAACAAATTAGAAACTGTGATAGACAAGAGTTCGATATATATAATATCAATGAACCTAGAACCATACATCTCTTAAAGAAGTATAACATATTGGCATCAACAAAAATATATCATTTTTTTTTTTCTAATTAATTTATCAACAAGAAATATGAAATAAGAAAAATACGGGGTTAAACTGATTGGCTAGCTTACTAAAGTTTCAAGCTATTAAGGTAAATTGCAGATTATTTCAGGGTATTAATTTGTCCGAAAAACACAGCATGACTTAAAACGTGAGTCCTAAATAGCAACAGACATAGAATATATAGTTCCCTACATAGTGCTGGAAAAAGGGTGAAGCAAAACATAACCATGAAATGTGAGAAAACTATATAAGTACGAGGTGTACTCTTCATCCTCGACTATTACCAAACAAGTGCATGATCTAATAAATGTCAACAAATTGCACTCACTCGTCATCTGACAGCTTGTATCCCCCGTCAAAGTAATCACCCAGAAACAAAACAACATCTGGTTTGAAAGGTAATACAGACGAGATAAAAGCCCTCCGCATGTATAAATCCGTGTAGAACTGAGCAATCTCCAGAGCAAGTGATTTCGGGGCAAGAGGCAGAGAAGTTTTATCCATCAGCTATCAAATAACAAGAACAATAATCAATATCAATAGATGCCACACCGAGTTTGGGGAACAAATTTTGCACGGACAGTGAAAGTCCTTTCTTCTCGAAAAGGTTACCTGGGGGTCTGTCACAACAGCGATTTTCACATAATCACTCGAATAATCAACTCCTTTCGGCTGAAAATTTTCAGAAATACGAGACTTTGTTAGAACACATGCTTTCCAATTTTTATCGAAGAAAAGCACATCAACTCATCATTACAACGGTACATTAGAAATGCACAAATTAAGCACTTTGGTAAACCAACTATTAGTGAAATGAAGCTTCAGGCACTAATCCACTAGACAACCAATTTCACATATCATTGGATTTCCCTTCGAAAAAACAACGTGCGACAACCAAAATTAAACAAGAATGTTCTGAAATTCAAATCAATTTGACAAATTATCAATAATATCATATTGCCGGACCCAAGATCCAGACTTTATCCACAAACCCAACTAATTCCAAAAAAATAACAAAGCCCATCGATCGAATTAGACGTGAATAAGAACAAGCGCAAAGAGAAGGCAAAAAAAAAAAAAAAAATCGAGATTTATTAATGGGTTTTTACCGAAGAAGAAGAAGAGTGTTGAAGATGAGGCCAAGAACAGGTCCACAGTGAAGGCACCAAATATGCAAACCACTCGCCATAGAGTAAATTGAGAGCCCATATTATGCTCAGAAATAGTGTCAAGTTCAAAATCATTTCGGGCTTTCTTCACCGATCTTGAGGTTTAGCTGTTCTTCTTCTGGGTTTTCTAGGTGCTCTCTTTATTAGCTAAAGTTGAACTCAAAGAGTCACAGATTGTTTTTCTATTGTTTGACTTTTTGTTGGCATTCTACGTTTTTAAAACGTTGATATTTACAAATTTGGTCCCAAATTAAACACATTTTGACTTTTAAGTATAGGGAATTATGATAATTTTTTTCATTTTTGTCATTATATTACAAAATCTCCATTTTTATTATCAATAAAATCTATATATATAAAGGGATTAACATTTACCATAAATAATAACTAGAAATTTTGGGACAACTTTAATTGCTTACTATTTTTGAATATTTTATTTTTTTTTTATCAGCATTTTTGACTTAGGAGGCCTACATTTGGAATCTAATTAATTTGAAATACAAATTGAAATCGAACATATCCTAAGATAAAAGAATATGTTTATTCCCCCATAATACAATCTCATATCAAAATACCATTATATTCGGATATTTTTTCTTTTTTTCTTTTCTTCTTTCTTTTTTTCTTTTTTACATAAAACTGAATAAGCCTTTATGACAGGCAGCCTACAAATTTGGGAATCTAATTTGAAATATATACTTATATAGAAAAAACCATAATATTTACTAGAATTAGCAGTAAGAATAGTCAAATATAATTAATTCATTCTATTTCCATCAAGTGTTTTATTTAATTGTTTTTTTCCCATAACACCTTTTCAATAGAACTTATCATGATTTTTCTATTAAAAACCGGATTTTACTTTTAAAATCTTGTGAAATTATTATTATTATTATTTTTATAAAGCATATATTATTTGTTAAAAAATTATATATATATATATATATTATACACATCACAGTACCGTGGTAGATGATTTAAATTTTAACCGAATAAAATGCCATTGATTTAAATTTGAACACACATATGCCTTGACCAAATGTCTGGATGATTTTAAATTGATCCCATAAAAATTATTTAAATTTGAAAACACCAAAAATTTTATGTATTTTTTATTTATAAATATATTGAAAGTGGTATTTAATGGTTGTTGTATAAACTACTTCAATATATATGCAATAAAAGTTTGAATAAATAATTTGTAATGTTATTCATTATGTTTATGACTTATGAGACACGAACACATAACTTCATACATATTTGCCAGAAGGCTGCTTAATAATTTTCATATATTGTTCAAAGTTATAATGAATCAACAAATCGTGGAATAAATAAAAAATTATGAAAATGTTTCCTACACTGATAAAATGTTACAAACTGATAAAGGCTAAAAAATAATATGAAAAACTTTTATGTTTGTTTAGATTAACATTGATCCAACAAGTTCATCTTTCATGTTTGGTCAAAATAATAATCAAACTTTATAAATCAATAAGCAAAATGTTTGGTTAAATTAATAATTAAACTTTATAAATCATTAACAAATAAAAATCAATCTTAATTGAATGTAGAGTATGTTGTAAATCAGTTCACACAGTTAAATTTGTGATAATTAAAAGTAACAAACTAAAATAAATTTAAGAAGCTTAGATAACATGTGACATGCATCCGCTTCGAGGAAATCTTTATCTTATAGTAGAATGTTGGCTGCATCTAATCTAATAGATGTGTAGAAGAACATGATGAATAAAAAATCTCTTCATAACGAGAAAACATTTATCTTATAGCATTCTGTTGGTTGCATCTAATAGTTTTTTTTTTTTAAATATTATATGGTGAACAAGAATAAGTAAAACCATTACTTTCTCTTATATCAAGGTATAAATTTATATGCTAAAATTAAATTTTTATCACTGTAAATATTTTAGTGAGATAATTTATTAATTATTTTGCAAGCTAGACCTAACATGCTCATATTTAATGTTCTGGCTAAAAAAACAACGCTGGTTAAAAGATGTGGTAAAAAACTTATAACATTATTGTTTTTTAAGACTTAAGATTGATTAAAAGAGGTAGAAAATAGATAATAACCATATTACTTTTTAGACTTAAACGAAAAAAGATGTGAAAATAACTCATTTAATATATATGTCATGTACATCGCATGGGGTACGTATTAATACTAATTGAAATTGGATATATGCTAAAATAAAGAAATTTGTTTATTCTTCCATGATACAATCCCATATAAAAATATCAATCCCATATCAAAATATGATTAGTTTTGGATTTTTTATTCTATTTTTTTT